CAAGTTGAGCTGCCCGAGATTCACGGAATTTACAAAAATGTTACATTTTTGTGATTTATATCGTTTTCGGACGATAGAATTCTTATATTGGGATATAAGATTTTGGTCATATCGCACAGCCCTATTCTGAGGAGCTGATTTCTTTAAACCAAATGACTTGAAACAGGCAGCATCTACAGATGCTTCTTAAACAAGAGTCAAGAGAAAAGAGCAAAGCTTGATGGAGTTCTGTATTGACAAGACCGGAATGATCAATGCCCTAAAAAAAACAAACCAAAAAAAACAAAACAAATCCCCTCCTTAATGATGAAGAAAAAAAAAACACAACCAACCAATCAAAACAAGTCACACAGAAGGCTGTCTTTTGATCTGCAGGCTAAAGCCTGACAGGGGTCTAAACCCTGAATCAGCACACACTCAGCCAGCACACTCATTAACCCACATCTTCTATAATATACACTAATTAGTCTATAGTAAAAAGTGCCCTTCCTACTCATTAGGTCCATAATCACCTTAAAAAGGGTTGAGGAACTCTGCGCGTACAGCCGTGTGTGTAGGAGTGAGGATTTGTGCATATGTGTGAATCTCCTGTTAGCTGCACAGATGAACTGCAGGAGCCGCACTGTATACAGCCAGAGTGGATTTTCTCATTTCTGCTCCAGCTGCAGTGAGCTTTACCAGCATTAAGGAATTATAGGTAGCGACAGTCTACTTTATACTGCTTTAAATCACTAGAGAGATTAAGATGTTGATCTCAGAGTGGTAACCAAAGTAATGATCGGTCACAATTTCACTAAGCTGCTTAAACTCGCATTAGCACGCTTTTCCACGTTGCCTTTTTACTGCCATCTGACACCCGCCTCATTATCTTTTCTTTTTAATAAAGAAAAGTCTGAATCCACAGAAACCAACACGCCATCCGATGCATCTGCACTTCAGAGCAGTAACAACATTTCTACAGCGTGCAGCATTACTACGTCCTATTCCCTTTACAGCGGCATAAAACGCATCCCCCGACATGTTTGATAGTCTGCTGCTTTATTGTTGAGAGGAACTATTGGCGTGGCAGGGATAAACACAGTGCTCCCAATGATTCCGAGTAAAATTCAATGACTTTTCGTTGACTTTCAAAAACTCAACGGAAGTGTTTCTATGACCTAAATATGTTATTTCTTCCTCGTTTGTTTGTGTTTTTGCTACTAAATAAAATTGTAAAGTGGCACACAGACTTGTTTTCTGCCAAAGCCGAGTCTGCTGTGTACAGAAAGCATCTCAAAGTATTTCCTGAATTCTCCGTGGCTTGAATACACCTTTTTAAAACTTCAAAAAGATTCCAGAAATGACCTGGCAATGATAAACTGTATTCTGGCAAGCACATCATCACCCCGTATGAGGCCATTTATCATCTCAGCTGTTTGAGCGTTGGTCAGACGGGGTCAGTGTGACCCCAGACTGGACAAAAAGCGAGCAGAATACACACGTCTCAATATTTCAAAGTACATTTTACAGAACAATGGACCGTTAACACAACTGCAGGTCTGATTCGTGTGGTCTGGTTCTGCTTCATGAATCGGTCTTGATTTAAAAAAAAGAACATTTAAAAAGTCTTTTAAACCTGTCAAAACACTAAAATCATGCTCGATGTAACTATGCACAGCTGCTACTGTTAAAAACAATGGTGGGAATTTTAAGTGTTTCCCCCACAAAGATGATATTTGACCCTTGACGACTGTTCTCGAACCCTTAATGACGGGTTTTGCCACCTCATTAAATTTCAACAAAGACGTGGTTTGTTGACCATCGGGTTTTCCCAAGGGTAGCTCTAGTTAGAGATCACCCTCACCAAATTCTGATCACACGCAATCATTATGTTCTGAAGTCAGGCTTGAAATGTGGCAGAAACCACTCAGGGGGTAAATCTGTTTGTATTTTCCAAACTTAGTAGGTGTCCAAGGGGGAAACAGTTAAAGATTTTTTTACAGCACATTAACTCCGCTAGCTAAAGTTAAAATGATACCTTAGTGGTGAGGATCTTGAAGCTGCTCTGTTGGGGGACAACAGGGTGCAGGAGGTGGAGGTTGAGGTTGTAGTTATCCCCTGATGGCAGCTGTATTGTGGCAGACATCTGAAGGCATCACACACAAAAGATATAAGTTATTTCCCCTTATATACTGGCATTAGCTTTGGTAGTAAACAATTTGTGAAATATACAAATATGATATGGTTTTAAAGGTAGGACCATGTCCACGAAGTATAAATAATAAATAAATATGGAACCATCTGCAAGTTGGAATTGTTGCATCAGTATACAGATTTTATGGCACAGTGATCCTTAGAAAAAAGAGATAAGGAGGGGGGGGGGTCGAAGGTGTCAGAGTGTCCATGAGAATGATCATCTGATGTGGCTGGTGTGACGGCCAGTAGTATCCTCAACCTGTCCCCCTGAGCCACACAGTGACCAGTGACGAGGGGGCATCAGACAGCTCCTAACGGCCTGTCACTCACTCGGGCAGGGTAGGTGGGCGGCTTGTTGTTTTAGAGGGACAGGGCTTCAGCTACGGCCCAAACCCTCACACTTCTAACATGCTCATCACTTGGCAAATGTGACACTCATGCAGTCTTGTACTTTCGAATCAACAGCACACTGCCCCAGCAGTGTATTCAACTCTAATCTGCAACCTAACGCTTCACTAAAAGTGGACTTTTCTGATTTTGGACCCATAATGAATGAGGAAAAAAAGAAAAAAAAATAGTTCACTGGGGATAAAAGCTTCGAAAGTTAGCTCAAGTTGCTTTTGGGCAATTCCACAAAACTATCAAAGCCTTAATATTCATTTCAAGTTGAATTCCTGCGCTGTCTGTAAGTATACAGCTTCTGCAAACGCAGTCACCAGGGAAAATAAATGGAACCGCCGCCTTTCATCTTTAATTTCTTTTGTATATACTGACCTAGTAAAAAATATATGAACTTATCTGTAGTTTGCACCACGGTAGGAGCTTAACAAGTGACTGTGTGATTCGAAGCGAGTGAACAATTTCTTTTGAAATGGGGTAAATTCAGTTTGTTATTCTATTAGGAAAGACAAAGCTGTTCCCTGGGGTGCCCCACAGTTACCCCTCGGAGAGAGGGAAAGAAGGCAAAAGGCAGAAAAGAAAAGAGTAAGAAAGAGTAAGAAAGGGAGGTTGTCCCTAGAGGGTTCTGCAGCTGATCCTAGATCAGTTATGCCTTCCATCTATAGACAATTAGGAGGTTGGAGAAGCTGGGGAGGGTAAATTGTTCTTAGATCTGTACTTTGGGGGCAATGTTAACAAGGCACCACTGGAGGCATAGTTGGGTCCATGGGGAGTGTGTGTGTGTGTGTGTGAGACCCATCTAATGGGCCCCCCTGAGGAAACACCCAAGAGCTAACCCATCTCTGCTCCACACACCGAGCAAACAGAGACTCAACACAGCATTCAAGTGTGTGTTTATACCTCCTTTTCCATGAAGCTGACATGCACGCCATCCTTGGGCACATTTTTCACCATCACTGTGACAATGACTTGCGATTCTGTTTGGTACCAGTCGTGCCTGAAAGACAAACGATTAAAAACACAAGAATTAACGGCACAGGAAGACTTATTTGAATTTGACCCCTTAATCCACTTATTGCGACAAAAATGGAGATTTCATGCATAATAATAATTTTAAAAAGCAGCCATCCTCATTAACATATATTTTCTGTGTACATGGGATTTACATTTTTATAAAGAAAGGGGCTGCTTTGAAGCACTGAGGCTCAGTTGAATATTAACTCTGTATAATAAATAAACAGCAATACCAGATAGGGCGTATTTACATTTGTGCACTTACTTCACAGGTGGAGCCGCTGGTGTCTGCTGGGTCATTCAGCCCACGAGACGAGATGACAATTAGAGAGGAGGACGTGGTGGGAAAGCAAATGGATGAGACAGAAAAGCACAGGAATGAGGAGGGGGGTGAAAAAAAAGCCATAACAACAACAAAAAAAGCTTAGTATGGTGTCCTTGTTTGAAGCCAAAGCGTGGACAAAGCCGTGCTGATGCTGAGAGCAACAATGCCCCCAGGTGGCCTCAAAGAGAAACTCACCGTGTTGACGTTGTTGTTTTGTGTCTTATCTGTAGGGGAAAAAAAGGAAAAGGGTGGGCTTTCAGCTCGAAACATTTAATACACCCATAACTGGCTTCACTGATCTCTGTTAAAACATGACTATTAGATTACTGGATAAGAGCAGAGGTTCCAGCGCCAATTTTAAATGTATCTATAGGGGAATAACGGACAATAGGCACAACACAACATAAACAGACACACACATACACTCTCTGAGCCTCTCCACCAGTTTGTTTACTGGTCCAGCCACGCCCATTAAAAGCCCTGTGAGCCTGAGCGAGCCCAAACACCGTTTACCAGCATGCTGTCATACATTATTCACAGACTTCATTACATAGATAGATGAGATGATAGGAGGCGTGTTAATGTTGTCTTAATGAGGTCGAGCTTGAAGTGACAAGGGAGGGGGGGCTGCTTGTGTGCGACTGTGTGTTCTGATGCATGCGGGGTGCCACATGTGATGGAACAACCAGGTGCTGTGTGTGTGTGTTTGCTCGCAGTAAACACAGTCACCAGGAAAAACTAGGGAGATAAAAAAAGAGGCTGTTCCCGGTGTGAGCAGTAAGAGTGTGTGTGTGTGTATGCTGTCTGCAAGCCGGCTTATCAAGGAGGCTGGGTCTCATCGGGGGCTTTCAAACATCAGTAACGTTAACTCTGATGAATCATGCGCTCCTGGGAGTACGTATGCACGCGGGTGTGAAGCGTGTTTGTCAAAACTCATGCTCTTGTTTACTTGAGATGATCCAGAGGGCCCAGGCATCAGCAGCAAACAGAAACACACCACGCAGACATGGCATGCATCTTTTATTGGACTAAGCAGCTCAGCCTCCACCACTGTGAGCGCATACTGTAGATCCATGGACGTGTGCGTGCTCATTTGTTTGATCAGATGGGCTGATCTGCTCCCTGACTGTGCCATTTAGCTGCGCGTTTGATGGCAGGCAGTAAATAGGATATACTGCACAAGTTAAAGTTTGCAAGTCTGAAGCTTGTTTGAACTAAAAGTACCCCAGGCAATTTTGTTTACTTACATTTAGGGTGTTACAACACAGATCCCCCCCCACACACATACACACATCTTCAGATGCATTATTACTGGTCAAAGTTCCATAAAACTACAGTGTTGTGCAAAAGTCTTAAGCCCCCTATAATTTCTTTATATTTTGCTACAAATAGGTCCAGTCATTCACTGAAACGTGGAAACCTTCACTGAAAAAGGCAGCTTTATTCTTCAGCGCAGCCTGAACTCGTTTTTTTTGTTTTGTTTTGTTTGGCATTTCTGTAAGTCAGTAATGTTGAGGTTTGGGCTCTGCGGAGGCCAATCCATGACTGACAGTGCTCCACTGTGTGTTTTTCTATCCAGCCATGCTTTTACTGCATTGACAGTGTGTCATGCTATACAATGAAGCTGTTGTCAATCAAATGCTTTCCAGATGTTACCGCATGAGGGCTCAACATCCAATAGTAATTTTCTGTGTTCATAATTCTATGAATATTAAGCAGATTTCCAGATATTCAACATGACTGCAGTTGCGCAGCACTGACTGCTGTACATACCGACAATGATTTGAATCAAAAATTCTAATCAGTCCCCCAGAGCACCGATTTCCACATCTCTCAGGTCCTGTGTCAGGTCCTTTCCTATTTCTTTGGAACAGCACATTTTAATACTTTTTATCTTATCTGTTTTTGGTCAAACACACAAAACACACTGTGCACACGATGACAAGTTTTCTGACAACAGCTCTTCAGGATTCACCTTGTTAGTGTGGAAATGTCAGACTGTGTTATCATTGGCATTTTCTGAAGATTCAACTAAAAAAATGGAAATTAAATGTGAGTCCTAATGGCAAAGTGCCTACCAGTGTTGGTCAAGTTACTTGAAAAACAGTAATCAGTAACTAATTACTGATTACGTCCCCAAAAAAGTAATCCCGTTACTTTACTGATTACTTATTTTCAAAAGTAATTAATTACTTAGTTACTT